TGGCTGGAGATCCTGGCTAGGCTGCTGATCAACTGAAGGCTGTCTCCGTGTCATTCCTTCTTCGCCGACTCCGTCCACACCTTTGGGGACCCCTGGACCTGCTGGGGTTGGACCCCAACAGTTTGATTAGATATGTGCTTTATAATGATCACTCTAGCAGCAGTGGAGAGGATAGAGAGATGAGTCCAGACTAGATGTAGAGAAACCAATTGGAAATCTAAGCAGTTAGGAAGTACTACAAGTCTAATTAAAGTACTGACAGTGGGAATGGAGTAGATAGAGACTTAAATCCTACATACAATATATAGGACCTGGTGGCATTGGGAGAAGTAATGAATGAAAGGAAGAGGAAAAAGTTTAAATGGGAGTATTAAATAGGTGGTGGTACCACTTCCTGGGTTAAGGAATACAGATTTTATTGAAAAAAATGTGAGGTGACTATGGGATATCCAAGTGAAGATATCTAGTGGGATGTTGAATATGATGTTCTGGAGCTCAGGGGGTATTTCTAAAACATAGATGTCAGAAGTGTGGGGTGTTAACAAAATCAAAATGTGTGACTTGAGAAGACAATATGTCTAAGGTCACAGCTCTGAGGAAGAATAATCCCATGATCAGTGGAGGGAGACATTCCTAAATAGAATGAATGACAAAAGGCAAAGGCACTGATAAAAGGCAAAGGCAATGGGTAGGCTCTGAAGTATAACTTATGAAGACTTCCTGGGCAGCAGATCTAAGTAAACCTTTTAGAAAGGCAAAGAGCAGCTCAGCTACGTTCAGCCATTAATAGTAGGTGTTTAGTAGTAGTTTGTTAGCTAGGCTAAGAAACTTAGAGGGAAAAAATTTTCAAACTCAGGTTTGACTCAAGTAAAAGGACATGAGTAATTAAAGAAGATTCTCCATTTCTTCATCTATAAAGTGAAGTTTCAATTAGGTGAATTCCTAGATCCTTTCCAGTTCTAAATTTCTGATCTGGTGAATTGGCATTGAAGAATGGATAAGATTTGGAATTCTATGAATAACTTTCCTTTCCCACCCGTCCAGTTCCTCCCTCCCACCACCACACCATCATGGTTCTCATAGAAGCTGAGATCTCAGCCTACAATTGACTGTAGAGGTGGGCACAGACCTAGCTGGGCCAATAAGAAACCTTCCTCAGGATTTTGAGATAGAAATGAGAAAGAGAAGGCAGCTTTATTCTGGGTGATAGAACCTGAATATATGTAAAATCTGGAGTTGCTGGTAGCCATGGTTTGCAATGAGGTGTTTTTTTGTTTGTTTGGTTTAAAAAAAAAAAAAAGCCAGAATGAAGACCCAAGAAGGTGAAAATGGAGAGAAAACTGCCTGGGTTTTCCAAAGTACTCATCCCAGTCCACTATTAGAATGTATTGCAGCCCCTGGATTACATGAGCTAGTTGCAGGCTGATCCCTGGCCATCCCCTACCCCAGGGGCATGTGGGAGGCAACCAATCAATGTGTCTCTCTCACTGCGATGTTTCTCTCTCTCTCCCTCTTCCTTCCATTCTCTCCAGAAATCAATGGAAAAAATATCCTTGGGGGAGGATTAACAAAAAATTAAAAATTAAATTTTAATTTAAAATATGGGGGTGGTGACATTTTAAATAGTAGTTCCCATATACTGGTCTGTAAATCACTGAATGTCCATGAATAATAATTTATTAATCCACCATGAAGTCAGAAAAATAATAATGTGTTTAATTTTCCACATTGTTGAATTTAATTGGAAGGACCATCCTTTATTTTTAAGTGCTTTGTACGGAAGTGTAGATAGTAGTTATCAATGTAGTGTTTATTTACACAATGGGCAAAATTAGAAGTTGGCATCATTATATCAATAACTCACATTTAGAGTTCTGAAAATTAAAAGCATAGAATCACTGATTTAAACTTGGCTTTTGTTCTCATGTTGGATAATCTGTTTTATAATCTATTTTTACACGTTATTTCTGAAGGTATTCCTCCTGTGTATTTCATGGTGCCGAGTAAGTGATGAATTATAGCTGAAGGCTTTTCCACATTCATTACATTCATAAGGTTTTTCTCCAGTGTGATGTCTCTGATGTTTCTTAAAGGATGAGTCATGCCTATAGGCTTTCCCACACCGTGTGCATTCATATGCTTTCACTCCTGTATGAACAATTTTATGGTTGCTAAGGTGGATCCTCTGCCTAAAGGCTTTCCCACATTCTTTACATTTGTAGGGTCTCTCCCCAGTATGGATTCTCTGGTGATGTGTTAGATACGCTCGATGACTAAAGGTTTTACAACATGCAGTGCACACATAGGGCTTTTCCCCAGTATGAATTCTTATATGTTCACTTAAGTGTCTAATTTGTCGAAAGGTTTTCCCACATTCATTGCATGTAAAGGGTTTCTCTCCAGAATGAGTTCTCAAATGTTGGATCAAGCTAATGTTCTGGCTGAAAGCTTTCTGACATTTATCACATACATAAGGTTTCTCTCCAGTGTGAGTTCTGCGATGCTGATTAAGAGAGGAGCGGTGTCTGAAGGTTTTGCCACATTCTTCACATTCAAAAGGTTTCTCACCAGTATGGATTCTCTGGTGGGTATTAAGAGACGCGCTTTGACTAAAGGCCCTTCCACATTCCTTACATCTGAAAGGTTTCTCACCAGTATGAATTCTCATGTGTTCAGTAAGATGAATGGTTTGCTTGAAGATTTTTTCACATATATTACATTCATAGGTTTTTGTTCTTATGTAACTTGTTGGATGATTAATCAGATTTAATTTGTATTTGTTCCTCTTTCTAAGTGTGTCATATTTACAGTACCTCTGTTCTATAATAACATTTGAACTCACAATATTTTCCCCAAATTTGTTAGTTTCTTGGCCTCTCTTCTTGTGGAGCAAGATGGCTTGTCTTACATCTCTTCCATTGGTGTCCTGATGCCTTTCTAACTCATCATATTTGGAGACTTTTCTCAATGTGGAATCAATTACATCATCCCTCATGAACCTTTCCATCATAATGCCTTGATATAACTGTTCCTTTGCAGTTGACATACTGGTTTCTGTTTTACTCTTTAAGTCTGAAAGAAATGGAAAAAATACAAATAACTCAAATACTTTATGCTCTGAAAACTCAATTGCTATAGAGATTTAGATAACAATACATATAAAGTACATGAGATTTTCATTATATTTAAATATGGTTATGTATCCTGGAGAGGTAATGGGAAATTAAATTAAGAAACAGTAAACAGCTGAAACCGGTTTGGCTCAGTGGATAGAGCGTCGGCCTGCGGACTGAAAGGTCCCAGGTTCGATTCCGGTCAAGGGCACGTACCTGGGTTGCGGGCACATCCCCAGTAGGAGATGTGCAGGAGGCAGCTGATTGATGTTTCTCTCTCATCGATGTTTCTGACTCTCTATCTCTCTCCCTTCCTCTCTGTAAAAAATCAATAAAATATATTTTTTTAAAAAAAAAGAAACAGTAAACAGTAAAAGTATGATTTTATAAAAAGAGTAAAATTTGAGCTTTTTAGTCCTGCCCTTTCTAATAATACTAAATAATGACAGAGGTAATGGGAAATTAAATTAAGAAACAGTAAACAGTAAGAGTATGATTTTTATAAAAAGAGTAAAATTTGAGCATTTTAGTCCTGCTCTTTCTAATAATACTAAATAATGAAATTTTTGAGCTGTCTTTACAACATGTCTTTTTAATTGACAACTACTTTTAGAAAACCTTCTCAGAAAAATTAAAAAAAAAACATGTTCCTTCCTCACTCCAGCAGTAGTCAGAGACACTAGTTCAAAAAATAATGTTGGTACTAAGAAAATTCACAAGAACACTGAGCTGCCTTTTATTAAAACTTACACATTGTTCTATTTCCTGTGCTTATTCATTTGTCCCTGGAAGTGTTATTTATGCAAAGAAGACTTGTAAGAAACCCAGACTATATTGCTGCTATTACAATGTTCTATGAAAATATCCTTTAACCTTTAAAATTTTGACTGGTTTTCTCAGCCCATGGACTGAAGGGTCATGGGTTCGATTCTGGTCAAGGGCACATAACTCGGTTGCAGGCTCGATTCCTGGCCCCAGTCAAGGCCTGCAGAGACAACCAGTAACCAGTTGATGTGTCTCTCTCACAACAATGTTTCTCTCTCTCTCTCACTCTCTCTCTCTCTCTCTCTCTCTCTCCCCCCCCTTCTCCTCCCTTCCACTCGCTCTAAAAATCAATGGAAAATATATCCTCAGGTGAGGATTAACAACAAAAAATAAAGTAAAAATAATAAAATTCTGACTGGTTTTCTTACTTGATAATTTGTTGTACCCATTACTAATATTTCAACTGACAGCTTTGTATTCCTAAAAGGTATAACTTCTTATAAAAATCATTAGTATTTCCAAATTCTAAATGGAGGCAAGAATAGAGTCTACATTCTGTAGGCCCCGGATTCTGGTCTTGAATAGTGGGGGAGGAAGAGAAGACAGGGAAAGACAGAGAAGCCATCTATGTCCCCCTCCCCAATTCAGTATCTAGGACTGAAGCAGCCCAAGCTAGGGGAGAAGAAAAGATTTCACTTTGAATGAAGTTTCACTGAACTAAACATTTTACTAAAATCAGACTGTTGTTATTATTTAAAGGGACTAGACCATTTATGGGATCTCTTTGAGATTTTACCCAGAGGTAGGGAAAGAACACCATTGCAGCTTTTATTATTCTTTTCATTATTATAAGTTGAAAAAGAAAACCCAAGAGAATGTACAAACAAATTATTGGAATTAATAACAGAATGAAACAAGGTGGTTGGCTATAAGATCAATATACAAAACCAACTGTATTATTATACCAGGAACAAACAGAAAACATAATTTTTTAAAATATACTATTTACATGTGAAAAGGTTGCCACCTGCCTTGGCTCACCTGCACTGGGATGTCCTGAGCCTTCTTTCTCTGTTATCCATGGCTCTTCTCCTTTCTCCAACTGGGAAATCACCCTAGGTTTGGAAAATTCATATCCTGCTTATGCAGTAAAAAAAAAAAGAGTATAAATGCTTATGTTGAGATCTAAGAACCATCCCCAGAATTAGATCCAGTCCTAGGATTTCTGAAAATGGAAAGGGGCACCTCAGCATGTTTTTCTATTCTAGCTCTACAAAGTAAAAGGTAAAAGAAGGAGAATCAAATATGCCCCTGGCTGGATTTTCAAAGGAATAAGACATCTCTAACACAGAATCCAAGGCCAAGATCCAGGGAATCCATGACATTTAACAATTTAGAAACAATGGCTCTCCTGCAATGAGCAGGTTTCTGGATAAACAGCCCAACCTTACCCACTGAGACCAGGTTCCCGTAGTTCTCCAGCATCACCTCTCGGTACAGATTCCGGTGAGCAGGGGTCAGTTGCCCCCACTCCTCCTGGGTGAAGTTCACAGTTATGTCCTTGAAGGTCAACCGTTCCTAGAATATAAAATACATTGCTTTTGCCCAGCTGGCATGGCTTAGTGGTTGAGCATCGCCCTATGAACCAGGCAGTCACGGTTCCATTCCCAGTCAGGGCATATGCCCTGGTTGTGGGCTCAATCCCCAGTGTGGGGTGTGCAGGAGGTAGCCAATAAATGATTCTCTCTCATCATTGATGTTTCTCTCTCTCTCCCTCTCCCTTCCTCTCTGAAATCAATAAAAATATGTTTAAAAAATAAAATAAAAAAATATTTTTTTAAAAAAGAGTTCCAGAATTGGTAAATATGTATCTACATATGAAAGGCTCATTTCCTTTTCCTTTTCTTAACTTTCCTAATTTTTTATGACACAATTTACTATTAAAAACTAAAATAAGAACAATGTATTGTGGGATCTATAACATGTAAAGTGAAATGTATTGTGATAATACACAAAGAATGGGAGAGAATAAATGGAAATATAAGACTTCCATATTATATGTGAAACTGTATAATATTAATTCAAAGCAGCTGTGATATGTTTAAAATTTCATATTGTAGTGGCTAGAGCAACCACTAAAAACAAACCAAAGAAGAATAGCTAAAAAGTCATTAGGGACACAAAATAGAACACACAAGAAAACTATTTAATCCAAAAGATAGCAGAAAAGAAGGAACAAAGACTAGATGGGACAAACAGCAAACAAAGAATAAGAATATGCACTTAAATCTACCATATCAATGATTATGTTTACTGTAAATGGACTAACCAAGCAAGATCCAGCTATATTTAAAAAGGTCATACTTTAAATATAAAGACAAAGAGAGGTTGTCCTAGACGGTTTGGCTCAATGGATAGAGCATTGATCTGTGGACCGAGAGATCCCAGGTTCGTTTCCAGTCAAGGACACATACCTTGGTTGCAGGCTCCTGCACAGGCCCTGGTCAGAGAGCATGCAGAAGGCAACCAATCAATGTGTTTCTCTCACATTGATATTTCTCTCTGTCTTTTCTTCTCTCTTCCACTCTCTCTAAAAATCAATGGAAAAATATCCTGGGTGAGGATTAAAGAAAAAAAGACAAAGAGCTCCACATACCCCTGGTGCACTGCCATGTGAGGACACAGCAAGAAGGTGGTCACCTGCAAGCCAGGAAGAGAGTTCTCACCAGGAATTGAATCTGCCAGCACCTTGATCTTGGACTTCACAGCCTCCAGAATGTGAGAAATAAATGTCTGTTGTTTTAAGCCACCAATCTGTAGTATTTTGTTATGGCAGCCCAAGCTAACAAAAACAATTGGGCCACAGGTAACACAATGTATGCATTTGTTAAAATTCATCAAATAATACACTTAATTTTTGTGCATTTTTATATTAAATTTTATCTTGAGAAATACTGAACTCCATTTAGTAGGTTTGCCTGTTCCACTGGTATGGGTTATCAACTCTGAAACTATTTTTCTTATATTCCAAACTTGAGCAAATGAGTTAAAAATGGGAGCCTGATTTCTCATTGTTGAAGGAGAACATATATACAATAATCCACCCCGCCCCGCCCCCATCCAAGGGAATATGTTCCAAGACAACCAGTGGATGCCTGAAACCATGGATAGTACCAAACGCTATATATAATGTTTTTTTCCAATTCACTTAAAGAAAGCACTTATCTGAAATGCCAGCATCACTAATCTTTCACTTTGGGGTCATTATTAAGCAAAATAAGGGTTACTTGAACACAAGCACTGCAATACCATGACAATTGATCTGATAACCAATTGCTACTAAGTAGTTAATGGGTGGGGAGTATACCGTATATAGGCTGAATATGCTGGACAAAGGGATGGTTTACATCCTGGGCAGGATGGAGCAGAATGGTGTGAGATTTCATCACACCACTCAGAAAAAAATAAATAAAAAGACAAAGAGAGGTTAAAACTAAAAGAATGGAAAAGGTTATACCATGCAAACAATAACTAAAAGAACACTGGAGGATCTACATTAAATCAGACAAAGTGGACTTCAGGAAAAGAAATATTACTAGGCATAAAGAGACATTTCATAATTATAAGGATCAGTTCATTAAGAAGACAACAATCCCACATGTTTATGCATCTGACCACAGAATTCAAAATAAAGCAGAATTGACAGAACTAAAGGGAGATAGAGACAAAATCAAGATAGAGATTTTAACATTCTTCCCTCAATAACTGACACAATTAGACAAAAATTCATCAAAGATATAACTTTGAACAACCTACCAACCAACTTAATCTAATTAACATTTATAGAACATTACTGAATAGATTATTTTTATTTAATTTTTTTAGATTATTTTTAAAATTACATTTATATTTCAAGATGACTTTAACATGATCATTAAATCTATTTTGAGATAGATTTACTTGCAGTTATCTATATATATAAAAGGCTAAATGACCGACTGTATGTCCATCCCTCTGACCCACCAACTGGACTCACGCATGCATGACACATATAAAGCTCTTGCTGGTGTCAAGTGCACGCGTGTGTTTCGATCTGTCATTGTTGACTGTGAATTTGATTGACACTTCTATTATAGAGAAAGGACAAATAGCAATATTAAAATATTTCTTGTAATTAATTTCCTTTCAATGTGCACGAATCCATGCACCGAGCCACTAGTAAGAAATAAACAGAGATCCCATGTACTAACTACTGGGAGCAAAGCAGAGTAAGGGGCATGAGGGAACTTTCTGAGATGGTGGAAATGTTCTAGATCTTGATTGCAGTAGATGGTGTACACATATGTCAAAAAGAGCTATGCACTTTCTTAAGTGTTTTATCCTATGTATAAATTACACTTCTTTTTTTTAATCCTCACTGAGTATATTTTTTCCATTGACTTTTAGAGAGAGTGAAAGGGAGGGAAGAGAAAGAGAGAGAGAGAGAGAGAGAGAGAAACATTGATGTGAGACACATTGACTGGTTGCCTTCCACATAGGACTGGGGATCGAACCTGTGACCGAAGTACATGCCCTTGACCGTGAATCAAACCTGTGACCTTTCAGTCTGAGAGCCAATGCTCTAACCACTTTTTTTAAATTTTAATCTTTTCCCAGTGCTAAGTTTAAATTTCATCAGTTTCAATAAGTGTCAGGAAGTGAGGAATTCTAAAAAGTAGAATGCAGAGATAACCCCTTAAATAATTAGACTATTATTACTTCCACATTTCTCTAACTCTGGAATGCATTTCATTCCTAGAAAGTATGAGCATCTGAATTAGCTGAGGAAACTGGGATTTTAAACAGCTAAAAAATATTGCCACAGATAACCAAGCAAGTAAATTCAAGAGCTAAGTTCAAATCTTGTACCATCTAATTTTAGAACCCAAGTTCTGTTCACTTAAAACTCTTCTGTCCTCGAATAACATTTCCTCTTTAATGATCTTCCTTTTCTGTTTATTCAAAAATTTTCCTTCTGTCTCACCTATCCTTCCACCAGGTGGTGAGGACACCCATTCTGACACCTGTTGTATCTGCCCAGGCTAAGGTGTGCACCTGTGGCCAGACCATTTCTTCTCTTCTTGATTCTTTGGCTGCAGTTTGATCTCTGTTCCCAATACTCTAAGGGTCACCTCATTAAGTTCACAAGTGATATGTGTACACCATTAAGAATGTCATCCTGGTCTGTGTGGCTCAGTGGTTGAGCACAGACCTATGAACCAGAAGATCAGTTCAATTCCTGGTTAGGGTACATGCCCAGGTTATGGGCTCAATCCCCAGTGTGGTGTGTGCTGGAGGCAGCCATTCAATTATTCTCTTTCATCATTATGTTTCTATCTCTCTCTCTTTCTTTCTCCCTTCCTCTCTGCAACCAATAAAAAAATATATTTTTTAAAAATATATAAAAATAATAATAAAAGAATGTCAGAACTTCTCATTTACAAAGTTTGTTTTTCAGTTATAAATACTAAAAAATAAATTAAAAAATGAGACTTATCTTAGGTCCCAAGAGGTATCTGTTGGTTTTTAGAGGCTAAAATTCTATCACTCATTTTACATTCTTTACAGAAATTAGCAACACAATGTTAGAGTTACATGGAGGCAAGTATAACTTCTATGAGCAGATAAATTGCTACTACCGTTGCCATTTTCTGTACAAGAGCAATATTCTCTAAGCTCCCTAGGTTAAATTCGTTAGCCTCAACAACCTCCCACTCCAAGAAAAGGGGCGTTATGCCCTTAAAAACCAAGAAGCATGTCAAAAAAATGAGAGGAAATTCCAACCCACCTGGAATTCTGCTGTCTGGGCCCCAGAAGTCCCTTCATCCTTTACACTTTCTCCCTGGGTCTCATTAGCATCCTGAGATAGCAGAGCTGAGGAAGGAAAAGAGCCATAAGGTTTGCACTTCCCAAACGTCCCCAAAACTGCCTGCAGACCTGCTGAATATGGCTCCTCTCTCAATATATTCACAAAGAGGGACATTTGGAGCGACGCAAGCAGACTGGAGGCCCCTTAATGAGGAGGATCTGCAGTGTGTTCTTTTGGGCATTAGTATTTCCCAATGGTCAATGCTGGTCCAAAAGCACAGATCTACTGAGCCATTCCTTTGTTCCCTTCCCATGGACTTCCAGGCACTCTACGCTCCACCGGAAGCATATCTTCCCAGCACTAGTTTCCTCTAATCACCATCCTCTGTCTGTTGGACTTGAACACCAATCTCAGACTACAATGGTCTCCATTCTCTGACTCTTCTACAAAAAAACTTAGACATCTTTCAAGGCCCAATTCAATGCTATCTGCTTTGTGAAAATTTCTCAGATAAGCACAACTGGAAAAATGTTTCCTATCTCTTGTCTTCCAAAAGAACTTTATCATAACATTTCCCTAGGTTACCTTCTATTATGGGTATGTGATCTGGGTATATGTCTGTCTCCATCAATTAATAATTAGCACCCTGGCTGGTTTGGCTCAGTGGATAGATCGAACCTGAAGGGTCCCAGATTCAATACCGGTCAAGGGCACATGCCAGTGTTGTGAGCTCAGTCCCCAGTAGGGGACATGCAGGAGGCAGCTGATCAACAATTCTCCCTCCCTCTACTTTCCTCTCTGAAATCAATAAAAAAAATTAAAAAAAAATATTTAGCATTAGAGATCATTATTCATTTTTCTATCTATCAAGATGCTTAGCAAAGTTCCTGCCTGACCCAGCTAGAATACAATAAATATTGACTGAATCTACAGTGTTAAAGGTATGAATTAAGAGACCACATGAAATTCACAAATTCCTCTATCCATCCACCTATCCTGACCAGACCACTAAGTAATGTGTAATTTCGGATATATTTCCCACTGAACCTATATTTCAAGGTAAAATAAGAGTAATCAAGCATGTCGTTCTTTCCTCTCAGCAGAAGCTGAAAAGCAAGAACTGATATTGGTTTGAGGATAAAATGACTGAAACCTGTGAAGAAAAACCATTAGGGGGCGCTTAAGAGTGCAAAAAGCTTTGACTTTGCTGTCCATGAATCACATTCACACACTCAGGAGTCGCTAGTGGGGACCATCTTGTGTTCTGTTTTCCTGTCCTGTGTAGTACTGAGGACAGGAGATGGAAGCAGCAGGGGGCAGCACGGAGCACATGTCAACAAGAAGCCTGTGCGAGGCAGCCGGTTGAGTATGGTTGAGTACATGCCTCTATATTCTTCTAGAGGAGCAACAAGGCAGGAGAGGAGGGATCCAGAAGCAACAATCACACAGCCAGAACTCCAGAACTCTCACAGCTATCCCCTTCCCAAAAGCCACAAGCATGAACCTCAGAGACCTGCTTTCCCCCCAACTTTCTCCCCGAGACCAGAACAATGAAGTGCACCTATCTTTTGACACACAAATGAGATCTCCTAGTTCCCCATCCATTCCCCCCTTCATCAGTCTATTCTCACCTTCTCCTACAAACATCTTAGTCACATCCTCCCATAGGGGCACCCCCTCCTTGGCCTTCTTTGGATGGTGCAACTTCACCCAGGTGCTGGCCTCCGCAGGCAGGGTGATCAAGAGCTGCTGCAGCATAACGATGTCCACCTGATCGGGCTTGTCCACTTCCGGTGAGGAAACGGCCAGAACCTCTGCTGAGAGGCTTCACAGTTGTGTGGTCCTCCTCTGATCACACCCTTGCCCTCAGGGCTTTGGCATGTTCCTGCAGCACCAGGACCTGGGGGCTCCTAGAGGCTAATGTGACTTGGACAGCTCTGACTGGAAACACTGACTCCTCTCTTAAATTAAGTACGGCCTCCCTGGGAGGCAGCCGGTTGAGTAGGTTTGAGTGTATGCCTCTATCAGGAACACAAGGCAGGAGAGGAGGGACCCAGAGCACCCTTGTACAGCCAGAAATCCAGAACTTGCAGAAATATCTTTAGAACTGCAAAAGATTCAAAAACAAAGATTTGTTATCAATGTGGTAATAAGTATAATCAATGCTCTTGGATGTGGCTCTGTCTCCCGGTTCCATACACACACACAAACAGCCAAAGATACACAGACATGCACCGATCCTGCCTTGACTTCCTCCCTTAAAAGCCACATGCATCTTCTGCCTGGATATCGATTTGAAATCAGACAGCCTGGGTTAGAATCCTGGCTCTTGCACTTAAAAGTTCTAAGGCACTTCAACTGAGTTTCAGTTTTTTCATCTATAAAATAATAATCGTACTTCATAGGGTTGTAAAGTTGATTAATTGAGACAATGTCGGGCAAACAAACCTTTAGTAAACATTATTATAAACCTTTTGCTTTAATGCTGCAGGAGAGCATTATCTTTTTAAGTTTTTTTTCTTCCATTTTTTTTTTTTTTAGAGACAGAGAGAGATATCAATTTGTTGTTCTACCACTGAGGATGGAACCCGCAAACTTGGCATATCGGGATGATGCTCTAACCAAGTGACCTACTGGGCCGGGTCTTCTCAAGTTATTTTTAAAAACAATTAAGAAATCTCAATTCAGCCCTAACCGGTTTGCTCAGTGGATAGAGCATCGGCCTGCAGACTCAAGGGTCCCGGGTTCGATTCCGGTCAAGGGCATGTACCTTGGTTGCGGGCACATCCCCAGTGGGGAGTGTGCAGGAGGCAGCTGATCGATGTTTCTCTCTCATCGATGTTTCTAACTCTCTATCCCTCTCCCTTCCTCTCTGTAAAAAATCAATAAAATATATTTTTAAAAAAAGAAATCTCAATTCAAAGTTAATTTCAAATATTTCAACTGATGGAATAATCATATAGCTGCATTTTCACAGGGGCAAATAGTGACAGACACACCCACGTAGATGCCTAGCAGCTAGCAAGTCCTTTTAACCTCTCTGTTAAGAGGTATCCTGATTTCAAAAATGTTAAAATTTGGGGAAAGGAGTATGCCTACAAATGGAGGAAATACAGTACTTCGAGTACAATTGAGGACTACTGCAGAAGTGTTTGTAACAGGCAATTTTGGAAAAACAGAACAAAACTCAAATACATCCTCTGGCTCATCCCGTCCCTGTCATTTGAGCAGGTAGATCGCTCCACAGCGACCAGGCCCAGTGTATCTGGGGCCCCAAAATCAGTCCTAGCTCCCTGGAAAGGAAGCCGACCCAACTTTTTGCAGTTTGTGGGGGAAGGGTATGTGGTTAATGGGCACCTCTCTTTTTCAGCTGTGACTGGTGCAAGAGAAAGGGGCTGCATCCTACCGACTGGAGCATGTGGGAAATAGCCTGCTTCTGAATATACAAAAAGTAAATGTCTTGTTACCAAAGTGGAGAAATTTATGAAACGGTTAATGGCAGAGAAGCTTCTTTGAGACGATGCCCCCGTTCTCACTACCCCGACCTGCCTCTCTGGACTGACGACAGGCAGGGTGGCCTCCTACTCACCAGATCCGCCTCGGGCGCGGGTAGGACCAGAGACGGGGGCGTGAGAGCGCTCGCTCTCGAGGCTTTCAGCTGCAGAGGGTGTCTGTTTGGAGGAGGACTGGTACCAGGTTTTGTTCTTTCCCAGCCTTCTACAGACAGACCACATTCTCAAGCGAAACCATCATTCTTCAAAAGACGCCCAGCGTTCTCGGCGGCCTCCGGACTGGCAATGGGTCTTCTCCAAATTCCCAAGGAGAAGCGGCCTAGGGCGGGTCTGCGGCTCCAGATCAACCAACGCGGCCTCTCCCGCCGCACCTCTCCGAGCCGGGCTCTGGGCGCCGCAAAGGGAGAGGCTCCCGTACCCGCTCCCCGCACACCTAGGCGAGGGCACATCTCCTAGGAGGCGGCTTCAGTG